AACCCCCCCCCCCCCCCCCCACCCAAAAAAAAAAAAGAGATAAGTTTGTTTAATGCACGGGCAGGCCAACTTGTCCTGCCCATAGTCCCATCTCGCAGACGGCGTCATGCCCTCTGCCCGAAACCCTAGCACCAATGTATATGTTTCAACATCTTTGAACAAACCCTATAAAAACAACAATCCCTAGTGAAAACTTGATCTCATTACCTCCTCGATCTTCTTCCTTGCTTCTCTCTCTTTTATAGCATTCTTAAGGTTTTTGCGTATTGACGATTAGTTGGAATATAACTCTGTCAACCTCCTAGAATTTACATAAATCTGATACGATACAACTATATGAATATCGAGAGCTAGACTATATAAGTGGTCAACTAGTTTTTTTACCTGGTGAAGTAAGCTTGTGCAGTGGAGAGAAGTCGAACTTCATTTGGTTTCTATCTATTGCACGACTTATTTTTCGAGTTAGTTTTTTTTGTAAGGTTGAATTTTCTGTGATTTTTGATCTCAAAGTTGATTTCTGAGATTCGGGTATGTACGGAAAAATCTAACACCGTATGATTTAAGAATTTGAAGCACCTTATGTGAAAAGTAAGATCCTAGTACGAACTTTTAGATTCGAGTATCTTTTATTTGGTTCATTTAGATCTATGATTTGATCGTAAGATATTTTGGATTATTATAGATTTAGTGCAAAACTTCCATCCGCATGCGACGTATGGTGAGCAGAGCGGCCATAATTTGCACAGAGTGACAAATTATAAAAGCACTTGGTTAGATTTAGTGCTTTTTGCTGTTTTCTAAGAGGTTGATGTTAGATTTGTCCACTGACATTAACCTTCTTAGTTTTTCTCAGCAGATATATATTTGATATGCCCATTTTTCTTTTTTGAATGGCCATTTTAATTCATGTGGTNAAAAAAAAACAAAAAAAAACCCCCCCCCCCCCCCCAAACCCCCCCCCCCCCCCCCCACCCAAAAAAAAAAAAGAGATAAGTTTGTTTAATGCACGGGCAGGCCAACTTGTCCTGCCCATAGTCCCATCTCGCAGACGGCGTCATGCCCTCTGCCCGAAACCCTAGCACCAATGTATATGTTTCAACATCTTTGAACAAACCCTATAAAAACAACAATCTCCAGTGAAAACTTGATCTCATCACCTCCTCGATCTTCTTCCTTGCTTCTCTCTCTTTTATAGCATTCTTAAGGTTTTTGCGTATTGGCGATTGGTTGGAGTATAACTCTGTCAACCTCCTAGAATTTACATAAATCTGATACGATACAACTATATGAATATCGAGAGCTAGACTATAAGTGGTCAACTAGTTTTTTTACCATAAGTGGTGAAGTAAGCTTGTGCAGTGGAGAGAAGTCGAACTTCATTTGGTTTCTATCTATTGCACGACTTATTTTTCGAGTTAGCTTTTTTTGTAAGGTTGAATTTTCTGTGATTTTTGATCTCAAAGTTGATTTCTGAGATTCGGGTAAGTACGGAAAAATCTAACACCGTATGATTTAAGAATTTGAAGCACCTTATGTGAAAAGTAAGGTCCTAATACGAACTTTTAGATTCGAGTATCTTTTATTTGGTTCATTTAGATCTATGGTTTGATCGTAAGATATTTTGGATTATTATAGATTTAGTGCAAAACTTCCATCCGCATGCGACGTATGGTGAGCAGAGCGGCCATAATTTGCACAGAGTGACAAATTATAAAAGCACTTGGTTAGATTTAGTGCTTTTTGCTGTTTTCTAAGAGGTTGATGTTAGATTTGTCCACTGACATTAACCTTCTTAGTTTTTCTCAGCAGATATATATTTGATATGCCCATTTTTCTTTTTTGAATGGCCATTTTAATTCATGTGGTTTGTATATGTATACACTCTAGTTCAATAAAAATATGAATGAGCTGTAAATTTAAATATTTTAAATTCGAAACTTAACAATTTTCTCGGACTTAAACTATGTGTGATTTATTTCTCATTAATTTCTTAACCCTGACGTGAATGATCGACCGTTGACTAAAAGAAAAAGAATTAGTCGAAATACACCCCCTAATTGTAATACCAAAAATGCATATACGCAGTGCAGTCCACGAAACTTAATCAAACAGTACCTTGTGTTTTTTTTTCGTGGATTTTTGCTTTTGGGTTTACAAAGTTATCGTAAAAGGACAGTTCCAAGTTCCAAGAACCAGTCTATTTGACGAGATCTTGGGCCAAGGGAAAATTTTCTTTCCTATATCCAAACCGGGCATTTTGGCTATAATGCTGGAACAATTGGGACGTCACCAGGGGTGCAATTTGGATCGGGTAATTCGATTTTAACTTTAGTCCAACTTGAAAAAATTAGGACTTGGGCAAATATTTTTAATACTTGAGTTAGACTTAGGTCAAAAAACTCTAACCTAAATTCAATTTGGGTTAAACTCGGGTTAAGGCCTTGGGTTCACGGGTTCAACCAAAACCCAACAAATTAAAATTTTTTTTTTTATATATATATAAAGCATTAGCACTAATTTTTTATTTTTGTTCTATCGTTCTCTATCTTTCTCATTCATTTTTATTTTTGTTCTAGCATTAGTACTCTTAAAAATTTGGTTGAAATTATTGGTTGTTAATTTAGGTAAATATTATGTAATACATGTATTAAGTTTAGAACAACAAGCCTATTTTGGGCTCTACTTGAACTCAACTCGAATTGAATCCGTAAAATATCTCGAAATCATTAACCCGAATTCAATCCGAACTTGCCCGAATTAAACTTGGGTAGCATTCGAGTTGAGTTTCTCAACCCGAGATAGGGTTAGGGTTAAAATTAGGATTAAGATTGAAGATTATATACCTAGAGTTGAGCTATAATTGATTGTGCAATTCGCCCGAATTGCACCACTAGTCGTCACAAGTAAGCATAAGGGGAAATTGGGTGTCGTTACCCTTTGTACATATAAATCTAAACTAAACATAAAAAATTGTAAGTACACTTTTTAATTTTTTTTAATATTACTTAATTATTCCTGCTTTTATTCATGTACGACTGATTGGAGTTTTCTTTCGTTCAAATATGAAAATATTCTTTATAGTGTTATTGTGATATATTTAATCATTTGAATTTTGAAAAATTGGTCTCAATTCGTTTTTGCATTATCTTTTTGAACCAAGCGAGTGTTTTATTCAACATTACAGTTTTTTTCAACAAAACTTTTCAATTTTTTTGTCTGCAACATTTTTTTTTTCGGTGGTTTTTTGTTTCAATTATAACGAGATTCTGTTTTTGTTCACCATTTCATCTTTTTTTTTGTTTGTTTGCATGAATTAAATTCTTTTTGAAAATAATGTAGCAACGTAAAAATCGTGTTTTGATATGAAAATTGTGAATTCAAAAATAATGGAACAAATATTCTAGTTTGGAGTAGATTGGGAAATCCGCAACTTCCCGCTGGAAGACGAAACTGTTGTTCGTGTTTGGAGTAGATTGGAAACCATTCGCCGTGAATAGGGGTGTCCATGGGTTGAGTTATCCACGAGTCATGTTATTTGGCCCGAAAAAATATGTCCGAAACTCAATAAGTCTGATAGTTAGTCCGCCCGAGTCCGAACCTAATATTATTAAAAAGAGGGTTAAGATTTGCCCCCAAACCCATTACTCTACCCGAAGCCCGGCCAAAATAAGGCACTCATCCTACCTTTTCTTTGAAAAAAAAGTTATACTTTTAAACCATTAAATTTGAAACTTTGAAATAAATCTCCCAATATTAGAATTTAAAATTTTAAAAATTTAGATACTATAAATAATGTTTTATTTTCTTTTCTATGCATTAAACATACAAGTTTTAAATGGTAGAATAATGTAAATGATAGATAAGTGAGTAGGTGTCAACCTAATTGAGATGTATTCATTCTATTAGATGTAGTTCATCTTCTAATCAAAAATAAAATTATTTATTATCTTATTTTTATCCATTTTGACTCTATTTTTAATTCAAAAATATAATTTACACAAATATTAAGTTACAAAATATTCATTATTTTTAAATAAAATTATATATAAAAAAATCCGTGAGAAGGCCCGTCACTTGAGTAAAGGTGTGAGTCTACACTATTCAAGCCTGTCCTGAAATAAAATTTACAGCCTAGCCCGNGTTATTGTGATATATTTAATCATTTGAATTTTGAAAAATTGGTCTCAATTCGTTTTTGCATTATCTTTTTGAACCAAGCGAGTGTTTTATTCAACATTACAGTTTTTTTCAACAAAACTTTTCAATTTTTTTGTCTGCAACATTTTTTTTTTCGGTGGTTTTTTGTTTCAATTATAACGAGATTCTGTTTTTGTTCACCATTTCATCTTTTTTTTTGTTTGTTTGCATGAATTAAATTCTTTTTGAAAATAATGTAGCAACGTAAAAATCGTGTTTTGATATGAAAATTGTGAATTCAAAAATAATGGAACAAATATTCTAGTTTGGAGTAGATTGGGAAATCCGCAACTTTCCGCTGGAAGACGAAACTGTTGTTCATGTTTGGAGTAGATTGGAAACCATTCGCCGTGAATAGGGGTGTCCATGGGTTGGGTTATCCACGAGTCATGTTATTTGGCCCGAAAAAATATGTCCGAAACTCAATAAGTCTGATAGTTAGTCCCCCGAGTCCGAACCTAATATTATTAAAAAGAGGGTTAAGATTTGCCCCCAAACCCATTACTCTACCCGAAGCCCGGCCGAAATAAGGCACTCACCCTACCATTAAATTTGAAACTTTGAAATAAATCTCCTAATATTAGAATTTAAAGTTTTAAAAATTTAGATACTATAAATAATATTTTATTTTCTTTTCTATGCATTAAACATACAAGTTTTAAATGGTAGAATAATGTAAATGATAGATAAGCGAGTAGGTGTCAACTTAATTGAGATGTATTCGTTCTATTAGATGTAGTTCATCTTCTAATCAAAAATAAAATTATTCATTATCTAATTTTTATCCATTTTGATTCTATTTTTAATTCAAAAATATAATTTACACAAATATTAAATTACAAAATATTCATTATTTTTAAATAAAATTATATATAAAAAAACCCGTGAGAAGGCCCGTCCTATAGTAAGACTGCCCAGAAGGCCCGGCCTGCCCGAAACTCAGACTGACCCTCCCGATAACTCACTTGAGTAAAGGTGTGAGTCTACACTATTCAAGCCTGTCCTGAAATAAAATTTACAGCCTAGCCCGCCCAGCCCATAGATACCCCTTGCCGTGAATGAAGGCGTCCTTTTTGGCTTCCTCTGTAAAGTGGAGAACGAGGTTTTTGAGTGCTAAAAATTTGGAAAAAAAGGTATTACTGATTTTTTTTAATTAGAAGTGGACTTTTATCAGAGATATTTTTTAGAAAGGAGTTTCTCTCTTATAAAACGGTACTGGCTTCAAAGGATCCCTAAACATAACAAGTCTGTGCACAAATTTGTCAATGCAAGATGAAATCGACACAAAATTGGTGAACTTTTATCAAACTAAGTGGTTATGATCCTAAGTGCTCCTTTGGCTCTGTGTATAGGATGAGCAACGGGAATAAACAGAATAGGAAGAAAGAAAAAAAAAACGTAGATAAACTAAAGTTAAACAAAAAGGGTTTCACAGTAAACCGGTTTTTAAGGATGAGCTCTACCTATGAGTTGAATAATACAACGTTGAGTATACGATCTAACCCTGATATGAGTAGTGAATTCTACACATTGGTTTTTATAGTACGGGTTACTAATGGGTTGCGTTATGTGGTACTGTTATCTTGTTAAGTTGTATCGTATTAAAATTTGTTTAATCACATAGTTTGAGATCACGGTAAATAACTACTTATGAATTGACTTTACAAAACTATGTTTACACAAATGGATTAAGCAAAAGAAATATACCAAACCCAAAACGCCAAAAAACTTCATTAATACTCACACTGATGAATCATCCATGGTTCCCTTACTCATTTTGATCTGAAAAATGCAAGTCCTCGAAGAAATCTGCTTGTCGTCTGAAGGTACCAGTGCCATGGTGTTCACATTCCAGTACTCATCACTCCTTATCTCATCCCCATAATCCCATCTCTCCTCTTCTCTTTTATCCTCTAATTCACCTGTCTCTGAGCTTGAAATCCAAACCTTCCTCCAGTTACACCACATTCTTATCATGATATAAAGCAACAAGCAGCATATCATTGTAGATGTAAAGACTATGGGCACTATAACCCATGCAACTTCAGAGTTTGACATATACTCTCTCTCCTGCCCNTTCTTATCATGATATAAAGCAACAAGCAGCATATCATTGTAGATGTAAAGACTATGGCCACTATAATCCATGCAACTTCAGAGTTTGACATATACTCTCTCTCCTGCCCCTTTGATTCCGAACATGGTATCAGAGGTGGGCCGCATAGCTTTTCATTTCCAATGAATGAGCTTAGTGGGAATCCTGAAAAAGTAGAAGGAACTTGGCCTTGGAGATGATTATCAGACAGGTTAAGGCTGTTGAGGCTGGAGAGTTTTCCAAGTGAAGGTGGGATTTCTCCGTGGAGGTGATTGAAAGAGAGATTTAGTCTCTCTAACTTCACAAGATTTCCAAGAGAAGAAGGAATTTCACCAGAAAGGAAATTTTTACTCAGGTCCAAAATCACTTGCAGCTCAGTAAGTGAGCCTATGCCCAGGGGTATTGAACCAGTTAGTAAGTTCTCAGAAAGCCTCAGTTCATAGAGCTTCTTACTCTGCTCAATTGTTGGAGGAATGGACCCGGAGATGCTATTTCTTTGAAGGTTTAGAACATTCAAAGATGTCAAATTTCCGAGCTCTGGTGGGATTTCACCTGACAGGTTGTTGCTATGGAGAGAGAGCTTGAGCAATCTTGAACAGTTCCCAAGTTCTGGTGGCACTGTTCCATTGAAAATATTGTATGAAAGATCGAGCTCCCCAAGTTCTTGTAGACTTCCTACCCATGGAGGAACGGTGCCTGCAATTTGGTTATTGTTGAGAAGGAGGTGCCCAAGTTTTTGGCAGTTTGAGAGCTCTGGTGCAAGCTCTCCTGTGAAATTGTTAAATGATAAATCAAGAAAGTTGAGTTCCATTAGTTGGCCAAATTGAGGAGGTATTGGACCATTGAGAAGATTGTGAGCAAGGCGGAGACGGGTCAGGTTTTTTGACATGGCTAGTCCAGAAGGAATGGGACCTGAGAAACTGTTATTCGTCAAGTCTAATATGGAGAGAGAATTTGAACCAGAGAGTGGAAAGATACTTCCATTAAACCTGTTGTGAGAAAGATTAACGATTCGAAGGTTTTTCAGAAGGGAGAGAGATTCGGGAAAAGAACCCTCAAATGAGTTGTTGTAGAGAGTAACAAGAAACAGCTCTGAAAGGAGTGCCAACGTTGGTGGCAATGACCCTGAGAGTTTGTTATCTGCCAAGACCAATCTTTGAAGCTTTGTGCAGTGGCCTAAGCTTGGGGGGATTGGACCTGACAAATCATTCTGCCTCAGTTGAAGAAAAACAAGATTCTGGAGCTTCCCAATTGTTGCAGGAATCGATCCACAGAAATGATTTCCGAAGAAATCAATTTCTGTTAAGCCCGAGCAGTTTGTTAACTCTATCGGTATACTTCCTGACATCTGGTTGTCGTAAAGATACAGAATGCCTAGGCTCTTTAGCTTCCCAATTTCCACCGGAATACTACCTGTGATCATGTTATCAAACAGATAAAAACTTACCAAGTTACTCATATTTCCTATTTCAGGGGGTAGAGTTCCGGAAAAGCTGTTATTGTTGAGCAGGAGATCTGTTAGGTTCTGTAAATTATCTAGGCCTGATGGTAGTTCTCCAACAAAGTTGTTACCAGAGAGATCTAATTCTTCGAGTGAAGAACAAATTAGTAACACCAATGGGAAGTTGCCGGAGAGATTGTTTCGAGCCAGAAAAAGTTGGTGAAAATTTGAATTGGGGATGCAGATATTCCAAGGAATGCTTCCTGTTAAAAAATTATCAGATAGAACTAGAGACTCAAGACTATTTAGATGAGTATTGAGGATGTTTATGGTTCCTGAGAGGTTATTTTTGGACAAGTCAAGATTCTGAAGTTGAAGCAATTGGTTAAGCTCTGAAGGGATTTCCCCATTCAATCTATTTCCAAGCAAGTTCAAGTACTTCAAATTGGAGAGAGAAGCCAACTCGATAGGAATTGATCCAGAGAGGCTGTTGTTGGCTAAGTTCAGGATGTGAAGCGATTCTAGCTTTCCCATCGAAGCAGGAATTTCACCTTCCAGCATGTTGTTTGATGCTGCAAAGTTCTGAAGCTCTATGCATCCTCTAATTTCTTGTGGTATGAGGCCAGTGAGACTGTTCTTCTGCAAGTCAAGTGATTTCAGATGCCTCAAATTACCGATTTCATCTGGAATACTTCCGTTTAGTTGGCAATAAGCAAGACCCAAGACACTCAACTCAGTCAAGTTACCAATATATGGTGTAACTTGGCCTGTTAACATGTTATCTCCTATTCTAAGAACTTGCAAATTCGTCAAAAGACCAATCTCTGCAGGAATATTACCTGACAGAGAATTTGAATAGAGGAGGAGTTCCCTCAGATTTTGAAGCTGTCCGAGCTCAGGAGGTATCAATCCAGTGAGAAAATTTGAAGACAAATCAAGCGTTTGAAGTGAAGTGAGGTGAGAAAACTCGGGAGAGATTGCACCTGATAGTCCTGAGCGAGACAGATTCAGAGCGATAACATGGATTTGATCATCTGAACATGTCAGTCCATTCCAGGAACAAATATTAGCTCTTGGAGACCAGTTGGTAAGAGCTCCTACTGGATCAACAAATTCCGATTTTATTCGTAGGAGCCAGTAGGAATCAGTTGCTTCATCTCCGTAAGAAGAAACAAATACGGCGCAGAGTATTGAGAAGAACAGCAACAAATGGCAAATATAAATGCTGCTCATTTCAGAATTTATGTCCCAGTTGGTTTCAAAGCATAGTTTCAGAAAACAGTAATTGAAAGATTGCTTGTATGGCTCCTAGGCAAGATCAACTTCACCTACAACCATTGAACATGAACAAGCAGGAGAAGAGAAGCCCAAGTTGTACATAGTCAGAACGGCGCCGGAGAAGAAGAGATGGCAGAAAAAAACACTGGTTGTTAAATCCTGGAACCTTGGAGTTTATATAGTTTTTTGGGAGTAAGCATGTCTAATCATCTTATCAAGAAAGTTAATGGCAATTACACACGAAAAATGATGACTTTAACAAACGAATTAACTACAAGGAAAATAACACTTTGACACCCTTAACCGTGACTCCGATCTCAAGTTGCCTCACAGCTTTTGAGATTTTCACATTGTTTCCTCAACTATATGAATCGGTTTTAAATTGACCCAATTCCAAACATCTGACATGTTTTGATTACAAACTTTATCTGTTTATGTGTAAGGTGACAAATATAACAACCGAGGGAGTAATGTGAAACTATTAACTATAATTTGAGATATAATGTAAGAAACGCGACACTTCAAAGGGAGTAATGTGAGACAAGGGCGTAGCTAACTGTGTCAAAATGTAATATGCCCTTAACTTAGTTTAAGAGCCGTCTCTCTTTTTACCTTTGTTAGTGTCTACTAAAAGGTGAAGTATTTTTTCAAGTTTTTTGATTTTCTTCCCTCGAGACAATCATAGAATTCTGAGCATGTTTACTACCTTTTGGGATGGAAATGTAGAAAGAAAAGATAGTGTGACGGCTAGGCCGAAAAGGAAGATAAAATGCTATGGGATCGACCCACTTATGACTGATAGAAAAAGAAGAAAGTGAACTTAAAGAATACCTCGAGAGGTAACAAAAATAAATTGTAAACCCAGACGTTGTGGTTTAAAACTTAACAATCCCTTAGAATTAAAGCATAAGAAAATTATCCCTCAACAATACTCTAATCCCGACAAGCGACATGGATGGCCAGTCTTAGACCAGATCAAGAAAGAAATTAGTCGAGGTACGCGTAAGTTGACCCAAACACTTTGACCGTTGAACCAAAAAAAAAAAAGTGGGTCCCCTCTAAAGCCATATTTCTAATTTATTCCATGGAGAACTTTGAGGATTCATTGGATTTTATTTGAATAAGATTAGACTGATTTGACTTGTAAGAGGTGTGATCAAACAAACTTCTGCAATTGTCAACTGAAATAGGTATAAACCCATAATCTTATAAATGTTATAGGATGCACCACAGGAGCATCAAGGAAGAAAATTTGCCCACCCCATATCGTTCGATTAACTTAGAATTGTGATTTAAGCAAAAAGAGGTAGCCAGTGACAGGATGAAACTGATAGATGAAGAATATGTTTACAAAAGAAAAATCCCTTCAAATATTAGCAGATTATGACCCATGTAACCATGCATTTAATAGTGTCCAGGTTAGGCTCCTCTTTTGAGTTACAGTGCCACTGAAGAAGTTGGGCATGAATGGTATTATTGGGGCTAACTTGGACTTCTCTGACGTTTTAGATCGTCAGAAATTTTTGGTCTGATGATTGTATCATAGTTTTAGCGGTAAATAAATACCTCTCTTTCTCTGTGTATGTGTGTTTGGGGGGGGGGGGGGG